TAGAAAAATAACATTTACTCGACTACATTTTACTTTGATTTTGAAGAATTTTTTTTAAATGTTTCATCGTCTTAAGGTGTATTGCATGCATAAATTATACAATGTCATTTTTATTATTTCACATTATCTTATCCTTCCACTATAAACAAGATCTGAGTCATGAAAATGATAGAAGTAATTTTGCTACATACTTAATATTATTATCTGATGACCTGTGCTCTTTTTTCTAAAGAAAATTTTAGATTGAAATTAATGTGTTTCGGATGACATTACATTTAACATATAGTAAATGGGTGCTGGATGGTAAGTTTGTTGTTGAGGATCAACGGAAGGTTATTTTTATGACAATTGATATTTTGTATTATCTTTCGAACTGATAGCCTTGTTGTGATCGTTTTCTGTGCATTGTATTTTTATCATTCTTTGAAAATATGTTATATGTGAGGGACAAATAAAAGTAATTCCAAATTTATATCAAAATTGGTTTCAGTGCTAGTAAAGCCCTTTCACTCTTAGTGAAAATATTTCATAAAACTTAAAAAACACACCGGAAGTGAATTTTCATGCAATTAAGGTTTTGAATGGCTTAATTGCACCAATGTTAAAGACTCAATAATATTAAGTAAAGTATATGACCAAAGTAAATTTCTCAATTTACTTTTCAAATAAAGAAACATCTACACGTCATTTCCTAGTAATTATTATGATTTTTATCCCTGTTTTCTTTGATGTTGACAACGAAAACGAAATTACCTTCAAACGATCATCATCTCTTCAATTACTGCAATACTGTTTCTTTCAAATTCAAAAATCCAATTCAAACTATTCATATCAAATAATTTGATTGATTTATGATATACAAGTTTAAAACACTCAATTACACAACAAGATATCGAATACAGACAGGGACTTCGGACTTCTGTCATGTGGGGAAGTGGGGAAGCTATCCAATAAGGTAACGGAACGTCGTCGGTTCTACTCAGGTGCCCATTCGTGCCTGAAATATTGACGGAAGGGCACCTGAGTTCTTTCTCAACAATTAAAGCTGGAACGTCGCCATATGACATATAATGTCTCGATGTAACGTATAGCCCAATCAATCAAACAAACAAAACCTTGTAATAATCTTTTATTATTATCAACCACTTAAGTATTTCACCAAATTTTGGCATGGATTCATAAATATTTAAATGTTTGATTTATATCATTTACGACAGTTTTTCAAAATAGTTAAGGAACCGTTTTAGCTTTTCAATACCTAGCATGTGTAGACAACTAAGTTCACTGAACACCTATTGACTATATATATTTTTTATCAAATAAAATGATTAATATATCAAAGAGAACCATAACCCCGTAATCTAAAAGATCGAGGAGAACGTTTAATTATATTGGCGATCTTCATGCATTTTAAACTTTGATTGCAAATAGAAATGTGATATTTAAGTTATTTTAAAAGGCGGGTTTTAACAAATGGTATTATACTTTTAACAGTGGTTTAAATTATGAATTTATTCTATTCCGAGTATCGATCGGGAAATTTGTCAATATTTTTTCTGAATATCATTACATAGATGTAAATAACAAAAATGAAGCCAAAATTCTTAAACGTGTACAGTACGATAAAAAAAGATTGCACATATTTATAGTTCATAATGAAAACAAATTGTAGTGTAAATGCCGAAATGATGGTGTTTTTCCGAAAATTATTTAAATATCCTTGAAAATATGAGCATATACTGTATTGAAGTTTGATAAAATTATTTTGCATTTAGTCATATCTTAAGATACACCATAATAATAGGTAATTCAAGTTTCACAAGTGATCACATGTTCAATAATTTATTAAATCAATCATTATAAAAAGTCGAGACATCTTTTAATATCTGAAAAAATACATTAATGGAAGGTAATTGTGCATGGCGTGGTATATAGGTTTCAAAAGTCCAAATAAGTGATAATTTGGAAAGCTTGAATGTCCTGCGTTTCTGTTTTAATGTTTGTTCAAGCCGTCAATGATTGAATAGGTATCGTTTATACGTTTGTCATTTGATATATATTTAGTCGTCATGTATGAATAGACAAAATAGAAATAAACAAAATTATAAATACTCTGTTACTTTATGTTTAACTTAAAGCGATAGTAATCAAATCTGACACTGATCAAATGGAGTGACTAAATATAGCAATTAAAATACATTTGTTATCTTTATGATTTACAAGAAGATACAACAGCAGACAAATTGAGATAATAAATTTAAACATATGTGCACCTATCGTGTTTTTGAATTGATAAACTGGAAAGAATTTGCCGTTTTAAAAAAGACGTACTAGTATGTGTTTAACTCGTGCATTGCTGTTGTGAAGCTATCCATCTTTCTGACGAATGAATGTATATATTAAATACATAAATTGTATGTATATGATATAAGTATAAAGTAATCCTCATATAAATTTGAAACATTTTTGCTATGCTAAGTGGTTTACTAATGTAACAATGTACATAATTCCAAAATGTCTTCGGATCTACTCACGCATGAATCGTATTAGTTTCAAATATCTGGTGAAATCACTTTAACAGTTTATCATCAGTTATAACTAAGAACTGATGGTATACGATTATTCTAAGACAACTTTAAAGGCATGTAACAGACTACAGACGGTCATGTTATTCATGGAGATGTTGAACTTACTAAATGATTTCTTCAAAGGATAAATAGAATGGAAGTATGTCTTATATATTTAATGATCAATCCTATACAACTTTATCATCTAGTGAGAAAAAACAACAATAAAGGGAGATGATAATGAAGAGCATTTTATGTTTATATCAAAACAGTCGAAATACAAAGTACATATTATCAATAGTTAGTTATACCCTAATTTATGTTTTAATCGATATTCAAATTGTCATTGATTTTAAAGGTTTTTACTTCTATCATCAGATTTTGATGTTTATCTTGAAATGAACATGTAACAGTAGCAAATATTATTATATATTTTTCTCTCTAAGTGGCGATAGATGTTTTTTTCCATTTATTAATAGAATGATAGAATAAAAGCAAAGAATATTTCTTTTTTGATAATAAGATAAATCCTGCAAAAGTTAACAAGATTTATTAGTTTAGTGTGGTAAAGAAATTATCATATATACGAAAATATATAGTACTTGAAATTTCTCACTTCACTGAGTCTTTATAGGGAGTTTCCAAAAGGGTAAGAATTTTATAGTTTCTGTTTTAAAATATTGGTAATCTCATAAATGTTTGTTTTTAATTTATTTTTTGGTGTTCTATCACTTTTGAGGTAACGGACTCATTTGCAAAATAGCCTGTAAATTCATTTAAAACTATCAAGATTTGTCCTCTCTTGAAAGTATTATCACAAATGTTCGACCATTTCCGTCAATCTTCGGACATCGAGGTATTTTGATAGTGAGATACGTAGTTTTATCAAAAATTGGAATTCCCCAAGTTTCTTTTTCAATTTGTGTTCAAGTTGTCAAGTTGCTTAAGAGGGCAGAAATTTATTTTGATTAATTGATTTTCATGTTTAAATTATGATTACAATTACTTTATTTTATTCTTAGGTAGCGATAAATATTAAATGTTGTAACGAATGAGTTACAGTTTAGATATCAATTAGAAAAAAAAATCAAAGGAAGTGACGTCTGAGCGACAGTACCTCTAAATGATGTTGTAATTAATTGTTCAAAAATTGGATTTCAGTTACAAATTAATCGTAACACATTTACTGTGGTAAATTGACAAGCTAATAAATCGACCGTTTCAAACACTTATTTGTTGAGCGTTTCCATTATTAAATTTGTCGTAAATGCATCATGCTTGGTAAATGCTTTTCAATGAGCACTAATATTTCATATTTACGTCTTATTAACTTACTTAATCGTTGACCTAGTTCATTCAAAAACACTTGCATTCTCGTTTGACAAAACATTAAGGCATACATTCTCAACTTCCTTGTAATAAAGAAATGGGTGGACTTGATGGTTTATTTAGATTTATTGATGTGATTTGGTACGATATTTATTTTTTAAGAAATTTAACTAGTGACTATAATGAGAATCTTGTAATATCTCTCATCAGTGATTCTTGTAATACCTTGAAAGAAAATAGAGAAGTTCCCGAGGTATGTTTTTTCAATTTCTGTTTTCAATATTTATTTTTAAGTTTAATGTATGTAAATTGACCAATAACTTACTTCTGAATGTCGTCTAAAAATATCATTAATTGTTTTACTTTGGTGTTAAAGAATTATTTATTTCAATTGTTAAACTGTCTACAAAACATATTGAAGGTGTGGTACATAAATCATAAAAAGGGTATTATATTTTTTTCGAATATTATTATCCCTCCCAAACACGCAGGATCTTAATCATGTAAAAATACAAGTAATTTACTATTATTTATTGATCACTTGATATTCTTTTTTCAAACATTTTATATAATGAGTACTATAAGGTCTTTCGGGTGTAATTATATTCAATAAATTATATCGTAAATGTGTAATGGATTTGATATTGAGGATCAACGGGAGGTTATTATATAATAATTTTAATTATCTTTTCTCTTAAACAAATATCCATATTTATCGTTTTCTTTTTAAAATTTATATTTTTTATTATTCTTTTAGCATATATTATATTTAAGGAACAAATGAAATAGGAATTAATTCCATCATTGTGTCAAATTCAAGTCAGGGTTAGTTAAATGCTTTTAATCTGTGTAAAGAAAATATCTCAATAGAAAGGTTCTTTAAAGGTGCCATAAAACATACTATAGTAAAATTACAAAATGAACAGAACAAACACAAAATATAACAATTTATTTACTGTTTAATTATTCATGTTGTGCTGAAAATTACATCTCAAGAAAACAATTTTATTTAATACTTTCACAGTTTATTGTAGACATGCATATTATCTAGTTATCATAACATTTATTTATGAGGAAAATAATAATATTTAATTAAATTTACAGGATGTCGGACATTCCTGATTACACTCGCAATGTGTCACTCAGACTGTCTAAAGTACTTGATGAGATTGGAGTGAACGAAAGAATGGTAATAAAAAGAAGGCGACTACAGCTTATGAATGAAACATTACATACGATAACAACCCAATTATCACAGGGAGATGCGAATGTGTATCACTTAGGTAGTAGAGTAGAAGGTACTACAACACTTGGGCTAAATTCTGACATAGATTTTCTTTTCACACTTCCCGGATACAAAGTGATAGAAGACTGGAATGAATGGGAACCTGATAGAGGAAACCTGTTAATGATACAGGATGATACCGTATCACCAGGATATTGCTTATTACAGATCCTGAGAAATGATGCTCCACTTTCAGAAGATAATGTGTATGATCAGTACTCGTATAGAGATAGAATAGGAAGAGTACTACTTAAGAATTCAATAAATAATCCAGCGGCTGGTGATGGGCGTGTTAGACATGGTCCCGCAAAATCAAGAAAGGCAAGACTTGGTTTCGTTAGTCAAGACATTGTCCTTGCAATTACTTGTCAACAATGGCCATTACAAGCCAGACGTTGGATTTATCAGCATGGTGAAGGCCAATGGCCTACATATGATATGAAACAATATTGTAAAGATACGGGATGTTTCGTTGTAGGAGTTGGAAGCAAAGGCAGTGTTAATGAAGAACTTGAATGGAGAATATCCACTTCCCTTGCTGAGAGATATCTGATGTTTAATCTTAATATAACACAAATCAGATGCTATGTCTTAATGAAAATGATTTTAAAAACGTTTATAACTACACAATGCCCTGATAGCATTTCAAGTTACATGTGTAAAACGGTCATGTTTCATTGTATTTCAAGTACAAACAACAATACTTGGAACGAAAAAACCTTGCTTATTTGTTTGAATTATTGTCTTATAGTACTTTACAATTGTGTTCTAAATGATAACTGTCCGCATTTCATCATCCCAGAGAACAATTTAATGGCGAGACGTTTTACTCCAGTAACAAAACAAGTCATAGTAGATAGACTTCGTTACATTATTAACAGTAACGGCAGTGCTTTACTTGAAATAGAATGTGATCAACTTGGGAACAGAATTAAATACACATTTTTGAGATTCGTAGAGATTGCTTTAGAGATTGAGAGGTCTTGTGTGATTTCAGGACAAGTGGTTAAATATACTGCCAATGTAGTCAATAAATGTTGCATGGCTATTCTGATTAAAATGAATAGAATCAATAACACCAGACTTTTATTTCAAACATTACGTAAATACCTAATCCTAATGAAAGTAACTCATAACATGAACCAAGGGCAAACTAAAGAAGCATGTAGAACAATGGCTAAATTTCTGAGCTTACATTTAGGATCCACGCTAGCTTCAATTAACATACAAAGAGAAGGTGTTGTGTGCCGAGAATCTACCGATTTGGTGTCATTAGGCCTAAACATTGATGTAGCATATGGAAAACTGAAACTAGCATCAATTTTCTATTGTACTGGAGATTTTGAAAGGACAGAGCTTATTTTGAAAAATATCGAAGAAAAGTATGATCTCAATGTAGTTGAACCAACATGTCATTGCTACGCATTTGAAAACTCTGGAGGTAAGAGGGCATTCAATAAGTTATGTTATGAAGCAGATTATGAATATATATTGTTACAGAGTATAACTGCATCATGTGTCAGGTTTCTTCGAGGTGAAATAAATTGTTGTCCACAGGAATTCCAACATGAAATGTTCAGATCATCACAGCAAGACCTTCCTTATAGAAGTGAAGACGATGAATGGATGGATATGGCTTTTGTAGATTCTCTACCTTATTTATACTTTCTTCAATATAAGACATATTCTAATCTCAGAAGGCATCAGGATAAACAGACTGCAATTTTCAACATTGCAAAATGCATTGTAAAGGAGCCAAATTTCGGACATAAAGAAACAGCGCTTAACCTTCTAGGTCAGTGTATGGAACAAGAAAACAAATTGTATGCTGCTTTAGAGTGCTATCTGTTATCACTGAAAATACGAGACAAAAATAACGCTGCTAAGCTTCATATCTGTAGACAACTAAGCTCAATGTTGGGTCCAAGCTTGCATTAAAATAAAATTGGAAACATTTACTTTTTTGTGACTGCGAACAGGCAATATAAGTACATAATGGTACTTTATAGAAAAGCAAACCTGTCAAACATTTTGAAGGAACATTAAAGTATATCATAGAGTTTATTTGATTTAGGATAAAAACATGTATATTATTGCCGGGGTGTATGGTATGTGTATTTTTATTCATTGAAGCATGAGTAATGTATTTGTCAGATAGGTCGGAATTTGGACAATTCAAATATTGTGTGAAATTTTCTTTGACGGAAATTTTAACAAAATAAAAATTCCTATAAAATTTCAATACATAAATATGTATATTATATAAAAACTGTAAAGTATCTTATGATAGTTTTATGTGAAAGATTACTTACCAAATAATTTCAATGGCCAATGTTGGACAATTTAGAACCCAAACTTTTTTGATATCAAAATTTTTTTTTTCGAATACTTAACGTCCCTTAAGAAAAAAACCAACTTTCATGATAGGGTTTATAATTTGGGTTTCTTTTTTATGTTTAGAGGTATTAGGTTTTCAATTAGATTTTCTTTTATTTTGAGAACAGTTGTTTAAGATAAATGATATATTTCTTTATTAAGCTGTTCAAAAGAAATTATGAATGTAAAGATTCTTTATGCATTCCCATTTATTTAGGATTTAGCTATTTCTGAAAAAATGCTCATTATACGATGGTATAAATAGGAAATTGAATATTTTCTGAATGCATAAAGATAACGTTGATCAAATTCATGTGTCAAAATTTGTAATTATTAAACATTGTGCATTTGTACAGAGATATTGTGACCGCAAAAATATATGAAATTCATATCTTATTATATATTTTATTACAAATGTTGCGTTATATATTGCAAAAGATATTCACAACAATGTAAATAAACAAGACTTATCTCTTAGTATTTTCAAGCAACATACGAGTTATTTCGGACACCATAAGAAGACGAAGTTGATTTAGTTTTCGATGAGGATTATTAGTCCCTTTGAAGGTAATTTAGGACGATTAAAACTGACCTAAGACACAAGGTGTGCGTATGAAATCTTGAAGTGACGAAAGTCCACCAAGCACAATACCAATTGTTTTTCAGACCTCGCCGCATTCTTCCAAATGTCGGGTTTTTTATTATACTTTACTTATGAGACTACTTAAAAACAAAACAAAAGGGGTGGAGGTCAAGTACCCTGCAAACTTTTTTAAACGAAAATTTTTAATGGGTACAATAAAAAATTCGAAAAAAGAAATAGAAGAAAATTTTGATAAACGTTAATTGTTTTCCACATTAAAAAAAAAAAATCCCTTCTAAATTCATGTGATTTCATAAATTTTTTGGGAAAAGGGAAAATTTAAAAAAAATATATTTTATGTGAAAAAGAAAATTTTAACACATTGAAACCCGGCATTTTTAAAAATCCCCCGAAATTAAAAAAAGGTAAAAAAATCAAAATACCTTTTATTGTTTTTTAAAACGCAGTAAATTTTTGATTTGTACTCCCAAACCCCAAATTACCAAAGCATTTTTGGGACAACTAATTCATTAAAACCCCACCCTTGATTAAAAAATTTTTATCAAATAAATGTTTAAGATATCAAAGATAATCATAACCCCCATAATTTGAAAAATCAAGGAGAACGTTTAAATATTATTCGTGATAATATGAATATCTCAGCAAAATATTAAAATGAATCAATGATAAATTTAAATCATATTACGTTTTATAATGAACATTTTTTAATATCACCAAAATCAGTGAGATTTCTTCAATATTATGTGAAGTATATTTTCAATTTAATCCGAAACGAACTAATGTCATCTGCGGTTCATGAAAATAAGAAGATATAACAATGTCATTTTAAATCATGTCATAATATAAATCCTATATTATATCCAGTTTTAATAAAAATAACAAAATATCTTAGACTCCTGTCATTTGTATCCTTGAACACATGTCATAAAAAAATACTTTTAACTTTACCGCTTTTTTCGACGATTTCAACGAACAAAGCTTATGATTTCAAAGGAAAGAAAGCATATAAAAAGATATCATGTTCTTGAATATGTTGAAGGATAGGAAGTAACTCAAATAAAAGTCTTTAACTTTACTTTTATAAAGGATAATTAAGTTAAACAGCTCTTAGTTAGTGATTTAAACAAGGGATATTGTAAATAAGACATCATATGGATGGAGTATTTCTGTACATGTTAAATTACGAAAATAATTACCTTAAAATAAAGCATTTACAATGGCAATGCACATTCAGTCTTCAAAATGTTATTTATTGTGTCCTATTTTTGAGTTCTATATTACATTTCTGGCAACGATACTCATCGGCAAGATAGATTCATTTGATTTGATCTTATTTAAGAGAAAAATTAATGTATAAACACGCGCAGCGTAATCGCACATTTTCTACCCTTTCCGTCAATCTTCGGAAATTGATAATCGTTTGTGTTCCGATTGCCAAATGCTTATTATGATCATAAGGTGGAATTCCCCTAGTTTCATTTTTTCAATTTTATGGTTCCCAAGTTTTCAGCTGGTATTTATTTCGATTAATTTATTAAGATTCATAAAATTGTGTTTCATTATTGATTTTAATGAATGATAAATAATGAGACACTTAGAAAAGTTTAACAGTTCATAATGGGTGGCGTAGGATCGAAAGTATAGACTGTTAAGATGTTTAACCGTTTAAGAAATGGGATTTTAATTACAAATAAATCATAACAGATTTTCTTTGTTTAATCGTCAAGCTAGTAAACTAGTTAATCGACTGTTGCAAACACCTTAAATTTGGTTACGGTTAGGGTTTTAAATTTAAAAATTGGGTTTCTGAAGCGCCTTTTTTGGCCCTTTTTTAAAATTTGAAAAAAATTTGAAAAACATTTTTCTTTTCTCATTCCCTCCGGCCCCCAACAAAAAGGGCGGACTTTTTTGTGTTTACTATTTTTGTTGTCCTTTGGCCCCGGATTTGAAAATAAACCTTTCGTTAACAGCTAAAAGAAACCCGGGAAATTCAAGAACCCCTTTCGTTCATATTTTTTTCCCCCCGCCCGGGTGATTCGCAGCATTCAAAATTAATGAATGAAAAACCGGAAAGCTTTTCGCGTACAAAAAATTCAAAAACTATAAATAGCTTTTAAATGTTCTTGCTTTAAATAAAATTTGTTTTTTCCCCTTTTTTTTAGAGTACTTTAAAATTATAATTTGTTACATTTTGAAATCATTTACACACACCCATTTTCAAGTTACTATTTTATGAATTTGTCAATATAAAGAAAAATTTCGGGGCATAAGATTTTAACAATTTTGCTTTTATTATTTTTGATTTATATTTATGAAATTAAATGTTTAATAATAACATGTTGATGTAGCGGTTGTTTTGAAATAATTAAACTTTAGTATATGACGTTACATTTCATTCGCGTCATTGGAACAGCATACCACTTTGTGAAAAAGATAAATGTTAGTGGTATGACTGGTGATATGTTCGGGGGTACGTACTCGACAGCGAAAGCTGCATTATGTATCCTTATAACATGTATAAGCGGATGGACCTTTATTAAGGTGTTTCGCTCTCTCAGCCATGTTTGTTTTCACAAAGTCTGTCCAAAGTGAAAGTAGACTTTAAACAGACTTTAAAAAGGATTTTGCCATTCATGAAATGTGCATTAAACTTTGCAACAGAATGTTTTTGGTCTTCAGAAATGTAGCACATTCAAGGTAAATATTGTTATTGTTATCATTTTTATTTTTGTTTATAATTGTCCTTAAAATATAAACCTGAATGATTCATCATTTTACAATACGAGCTTTGTTGTTATATGAATTTTAGCCTACTTTCACTTTGTACAGATTTTAGTGAAAGACAAAGCGGAATCACCTTAAGCATAGGCTATAGATAGATATCATGACAACAGCAGAAACTTTGATCTGCAGTTTGAACATGAAGTGTAATGTTTTTTTATGAATGGTTTTAAAGCAATTCAACAAAAAATATATATTGATCTCCCTAAGAATTAATAAACAATAGTTTTTTTTATATATTACCAATGTCAAATAGCTTTCATATCTTTGTCTCGCACGAATATGATATTAGTGAATTTCCTCATACCTTCCTAAAATTGAGGTAACAGACTTCTATTATATTGATAAATACTGTATCACCATGTAACGCGTGTTTAACAAACAAAAAATCCTGAATTTGGTCTTTTTGAAATTCATCCCATTTTTTCATTCCAGAGTGTGTTCTACTTTCAGTATTGAAAGAAACCATTTTTTTAATTTGACATGAAAAATATGCATGTTATATTACTATATTATAATATAAGTCCCTTTTGTTACTATTTGTGTATTTGTAACAATTATAACAGACTTTGATATTTCTATCATCTTCTGTTACTTACTACAGTAGTGACACAAAAAGAACACAGTACATTCATGTCACATTACATTTACAAGTCTTTTCTGCGGATGTCTCTAAATTCAAAATTTTACTATTTCATGTTTAAATGATGAATTTTGCTTAAGCCGGTGCTAGGGGGCGTCGACGGTAACTTGCACTTTCCAGTACCGTCCGTGAACAGACTCAATCAAACCGAGCCTGCAACATTTTCAATTTTGCCGTGTTGGGCTTTATTATTTAGCTTTTGTTTGTATTAAATGGAATTACTTTCCTTACCAGGAAGGCATCAGTGAAAGCATTTTTATATTAAAAAGTTTTCCCTGGACAGTGCATAAGATAAGTATAATTATGCAAAAAATGGTTTACAAAACATTCGGAAAAAATCTACAATAGTACTTAATCTGAATATAACATGACCTGTGCGTAGGAATAATTTGGTAAGGTATCTGTAATGAGCGCATTTTTTTGCGCGGAGCTTCTCAATTGCTGCATTGCAGCAACATTTGTACTTGTTTGCTTACTTAGTTTACTTACTTAGCTTACATAATCGTTGACCTACTTGATGGGAAATAGCATTCAAGTTCGTCAAAACATGAGGG